AGACCATGGCCGATCATGACCTCAGTGTCCAGGATGTACGATAGGGGTACGCCAAGATACAAGAGGTGATCCTCCGCAGGCATGGGCTGGGGTTGCCCTCTGAGCCAAACCCCCGGGGCGGGCCCCTGAACCTGGCCCAAGACTGTTGACTTAGATGCATTAATGCGCAGCCCTATGGCTGCCAGACAGTCCTCGATCCCTTGCACCTTAGTCTGCAGGTCGGCGGGCGTGTCGGCGAAGACGAGGAGGTCGTCAGCATAAAGGAGCAGGTGGGCTAGTGGCCCCACCCGAGCTTCCCAGTCCGGGAACCTCTCCGTCCTCCAATGCTCGATAAGCGGACCCAGAAACCAGTCGATGACACGGGAGAACAGGTCCGCGCTGTAGGAGGTGCCCTGCAAGACGCCCCTCTCTAACTGTTGGTCCCACCGGCGGGCGCCAATGCCCATAGTAATCCTGGACTGGATGCACATTTCCCACAGCAGCACCTTCTCGGTCGTTGGCCGGCCTTGTCGGAGCCATTCCAGGATCGCCGAGTGCGAGAGCGTGTCAAAGGCCGCCCGTATGTCCAGCTTGGCCACGCAGGCTCCACAGCGGCCCCGAGATCGAAGCTGCTGAACGATCATCTGAGCTGCCGCCACTCCGTCTATGGCCTGCGATCCCGGACGACAGCCCATCTGGCCCGCCTGATATGGCGGCGACGCGTCGCGCACCCTGCGCATGAGGATCTTGCTAAAGACCTTGCCAAGGCAAGGCGTCAGGCAGATGGGGCGGAGGTCCTTAGGACCCTGCGGCTGCGACACCTTGGGCATGAGTGTGATCTTCCCGTGGCTCCACGAGGGAGGCAGCGCGAGCCGCCCCTGGAGTATGTCTGTCAGGTAACCTGCCAGCTTATGCTGGGTATCCATCAAGGCTATCTGGAGAAGACCCTCGTAGGTAACCCCGTCAAGACCTCCACTGACACCTCGCTTCATCTCCTGTATACATGCCACCAAATCTTCATGGGTGATGGGGGCGGGGGGGGGGGCCACAGAGGCGGCAGCGCGGAGCGCGTGAACTCTGACCGGATCCGGTTCCGCATCTTCCCGGGCGTATTTGTGTCGGTAGAAGTCGGCGAGTTCCTCCGCCGCCTGTTGAAGCCCACCCCTAGCCGCCACATACCCTCCCTCAAAGGATGCCCCCGCCGCGCTTCGTCGCAAGAAGGAGATGGCTCGGCGGTCACCCTGGCGGGCCCTCTGGAGGAGGTCCGTCTTGTGCTGCGCTTTGTCCGCAGTCCGGGTTTCCCGAATTTGCTTCATGAGGAGGGCACGTTTTTCAGGGCACATGCACGACTTGCGCTCTGCAATTAATTCTTGAATTCGGGGGGAGTCTGAATACCGTAAATTCGGGGGGCGCGTGGCCGCCTTCTGACACAACTCTGCAATACTGTCCTGGTTGTAGGTGAATTCGGGGTCCCGGAGGCCTTGTTCTAGGATCTCCGAGCGATAGTTCCACTGCCCCGTTTTATCCTGAGGTCGCCACGTTCTGTGAAACCAATGTGCGGATACCGTGATCCGCAGAAAGATGGGGTCATGGTCACTGGGGAGAGCCTGTCGCATACCCTCATCTTTCCAAAACTGAGCCCGGCACCCGTGCGTCCTGAACAGCCACCAGTCGATTGGGGTGGAAAGCCCTCTGGCATGCCACGTCCCGCCCAGTGGAGCGGAACCACGCAAGCCATGAACATGTACGAGACTGCGTATATGGGACATGCCGGGGAAGCTGTCTACCGGGCTCGCGTAATTCTGGTTAAGATCACAGCCAAGAACAATCTGTGTATGCTGAGAGAGAGCTGATAACTGCACTTGCAAACTCTGAATTCCAGTGGTCCATACCTCCACGGCGTCCGCTCGCTGTTCATGCGGAAAATGAAGGGAGGACAAACAGAAATGACCCCTGTTGCTAGCAAGTTTAACTAACAGTCCAAGGGGATGGGGCACGACCTCCGGGCGAGCATGGATGAGCGCCGTGCACACAGCTACTGCCACGCACCGGAAGCTGGCTGTGGTGTTGACTACATAGACGTTATACATTTTAGGGCCAAGGGACCACTCCTGGACCCTCTGGGCCCCCAACTCCAAGTCTCGTATCCCTCCTAGTTCCTGAAGCATCAGCACATCAGGCAGCGCACATGTGCCTGTCATCAGATCAGCAAGGGCCTCCAGCGACTTACCATGCAAATTCCACGACATGCAGACCAATTCCCTGGAAGCCCCGGCCCGCGTTTGCGCGCAGGCCCGTCCCCCCGGTAGTCACTCATCGCGAAGGTCCAGTCGCTGCCGGAGCGTCTCTTCTGCGACCCCCAAGAGGGCTGCAAAGTCACCCAAACGCACATACCAGCCCGTGTCCTCCCCTCGACCATTCTGAAGCATGACCGCCCCGTCAAATGGGGGGCGACGGTCGGCGTGGAACAAAATCTCCCGCCCCTTCACCCAGACCCGCCCAGACCAGTCGAAGTCCACGTCAGTTTCCGAAACAAACTCCAAGGCCAGTGCCTTCATGGAGACAATAGCACGAATCTTAGCCCTCTCCTCAGGCCCACGATTGCGCTTAGCCCACAAGCGTGCCGAGCCCTGACCGGGCAAGCGGCTGCCTTCACTGATGCGCTGGCGTAAGGCATGCAGCACCGTGCCCTGTAGCTCCCTTTTGGCACGCGGGCGGTCGTCGGGGAACAGCAACTCCACACGACAGTAGCGAGATCTGGCATATGGTACATGGACGCGCTTAAGCAAGGCCTCGGCCTGGGCATCTGAGAACAAGCGAGTGACCTCCCCCTCGATCTCCACCCGACGGGCCTCATCCCATCCCCCCACCACAATCTGGAAATCGTCTATGTGCCGGTCAGGCAGGGACGAGCCGGCCTGCGAGAAGCGCGGGGAGCTGCCCCGCGTCGCGGCAGGACTAGGACTGACCGACCGAAGACGTCGGACCTCTGCTTCAAGCTCTCCGAGACGGCCCTCTGCCGTCCCAAGGCGCGTATCGTGGCCCCGGACCGTGTCCCCCAGCGACCCCATTTGTGCTGTGAGTGTCTGTATTTGAGCGGTCGCGCCACTCAGCTGGGCCAAGGCGGTGTCCTGTTTACCGTGCAGATGATTCAACTGATCCCTGAGCCCTCCCACCCACGTCGGTTCATCCAAAAGGAAATGCTGGGGCCCGGAGAAGGGGGGGGGCCCCGGGAGGGGGTGATCCCCACGACCCCCATGGAACAGCGGGGGAGCTCTATGGGCCGGAGCCCCCTCAGCGGCCCTAGCGTCGCCAAAGCTAGGGAGGCACTCCTGTGTACGGAGGCGTTTTTCTGGGCTGGCTTCCTGGGAATGCGTGCGTTCCTTACGAGCAGCCCCCCCCGTGGAAAAGGCCGCGGCGGGCAAAGCGATGCTATTCACGGGCATGGATGTGGTGGCGGCCAGCAGTGCCGCAGCAGCCGCCGCATGCCCCTGAAGGGCCAGGCGCTCCGCGCAGACAGGTTCCCCATCCGCCCCCCCTGCCCTCGATCCCCCCCCGTCGCCATCCCCCCCCTCAGCCCTACCCTGATCCAGCGAGCGCGTCAGCCTGGCCGCAGCCTCCGCAGCTGCCTGCAGCTGCCTGCGCTCATGATCCGGTTGTGTCTGTAGGACCGCCAACATCCCCCCCGGACCATCGGGGTCGACTGACCTAAGCTCGTCATCCGCCGGAGGGGGACTCTGACTGTCATACTCCGGCAACATGACCGCGAGACGCACGGGACACGAGTGCGCTGTATGTCTGTGCACGCGCACGTCCGTCCCAGGTCCGCCTCGTAAGGTGTCGACAGGGTTTTAGGGAGGGTATGTAATTAGTCTTCGGGGCTTAGGGTTTAGGGTTTGGGGTTTGGGGTTTAGGGTTTAGGGGGACTCATGGCATCTCCATTTCCTTTTTTTTAGGACCCCATGAATAAGCCCAACCTGGAAGGGATCATGAAGAAGAAGCCCCAACCTTCAAGAGATCACGAAAAGAGGGTAAGAAGTCACAGGTCCTCGTATGGCTTTCTGGGCCCTTTAGGATCCGCCAAAACCCCAAACAAAGGATCCGCCGTCTTTGCAGTCAGAGCCCCTAAGCTGCGCCTACGCGCTCTATACCTTTATAAACCCTAAACTCTAAACCTAGACCCTTGTACTAGACCGAAGTGTAACCTGGCAACAAAAAGGGTGCCCTTGCTGGTTTGGAGGGGCTTATTATGAGGGAACCTAACCCCCAAAAAAGGGAACAAGGGCCTGCTCTCGTCTACAGATTCCCTGTGGGGAGCTACAGGGCAATCTCTGGGACCCTGGAACTACATGGTGCGCGGCGTGTTCACGCCCCTACAACGGGAAGCATGTTCTGGGGAAGGGGGGTTCAGGAAACACTGGCAGGCGTGGGTTATTCATGAAGTAGAGTCATTTCGGTGATTTGGAGGAGGGCCCTGTCACACTACTGGGTAAGTTTTGTAAGATAGGAGTTTGATGGCAGCAACAGGATTATGATGGCAGGGCGGCTTGCGGAGGGGCATGTCCGGAAGTCATCAGGGCAGTGTTTTTTTTGAAAACACTGTAAATACCAGTGTTTTGGGCATGGTCGCCAAAGGCAAGGACACTTGTGAATGCTTTTCTTGTTGCACATCCTTCCGCAGTATGTTGTACAAGCGGCGGAAATGCTGTAAATACCAGTGTTTTGGGCGTAAACACCAGTGTTTTGGGCATGGTCGCAAAAGGCATGGACGCTTGTGACAACGTGTCTTGTTCCACAACCTTGCACGGTACGTTGTACAAACTGGGAAAACGCTGTAAATACCAGTGTTTTGGGCGTGGATGCAATATGAATGATGTTCTTATCCCCCCCCCCCCCCCCCACCCCACCCCCCCCCAAACCCGCAAGGAAGAGGAAATGCCTGAGCAAGTGCTGAAAAACGTAGGGGCGGGAACGCGCCGCGTTCCAACTACATGGAGGACAGTGCGTCTATCAAGCTGCGCCTGCGTGTACGTCGTGCCCTCGGGCAGCTCAGGCACAGGCAAGAATGGGAGCCTCTTGCGGCAATTCTCCTCTGCAGACCACGGCGGCTACCGTAGCCGACGCTTTTGGGGCTTCCCAAAATGAAGCGTATCCTCGTGAATGTTCCAAACGACATGGCATACAGTAAGATCTTCAGACAACACGTGAAGAATAATGGCAAGGATGATGTTAAGCACAATGGTGGAAGCAACCGCGCTGAAGAGTAAACATGCCCGACAGAACGCCTTTCACCCGACAAATCGAACCTGCAACCCTCTCGCTGTAGCTGAGCCGTTATACAGCCAAGGCGAAGCCCTAAACCTCAAACCCACAAACATCTAAGCAGATCATACATGTATGGGTCAGGTGCCCCCCCCCCCCCCCCCCCCCCCCCCCATGCTTCTGCCACCATGTTTTCCTTCCCGTCTACTGAACACATCTAACGGCCCGAGGGCAACTTTCAACTCCGAAATCGAAGATCTCAGTACAAGGAAGCCCCCAACATTGAACCGGATGACCTTGAAACGCCGCCTTGAGGGCTCCTTCGCGGGAAGGCCCCCCACGATAAAGGCCTGCGCCCGGGTTTGGGTGCTGGTTCTTCGTAGGGAATTACAGGAGAAAATCCCCCGACCAAAGCCCTAAACCCGTACTATACGAACCTCCCATAAAAGGCAAACCCTGCTTTCAGAAACCGCCATCGGTACCCTGGACCATCCCTTAAGAAGCTGGCGCAGGCGGCCTGGAAACTGAGCAGAAGGGAACACTTCTGGGGTTGCTACTTGAACAAAGGCGCCCAGAACCCAAAAGGGCAAAAGAGTTTAGGGTTTAGGGTTTAGGGTTTAGGGGACCCCTGTTTGCTGGGTTGGGGGGGGGCACCTCGCCATCACTGCGTAGTAGCGCGGTGTGGTGTCCTTGAGAGACATCTGACCAGGCCAAGGTTGGGGAATTCATCTCTATACATGGGCCATAGGCATACATGTATATAGTATTATATATAATGATATATATATATATATATATTTATTTATTTATTTATTTATATTTGTATTTATTTATTTATGTAAAGTATGTGTGTGTCTGTCTATCTATATATGTAGATATAGGCTGGGACAGGAGATCCGTGAAATTGGACCTTGCTTGTAGTGCTGATTTTACGCATGTGTTGAGCTCTGTTGAGAATGTACTTTCCAGCGTTGGCGCTCATCGCAAGTACGGTCAAGCTCCACGTGGTGGATTGGAGCGCCAAGCGCAAGAGCTGCTGGACGCTTTGAAGTCGGACCAGGGAGATGGGGTAAGGGGGTTCCACCGTACTTCCTTTGTCTTTGATGGTGGTGCAGTTTTGTGGGAGGGCTAGCTAGCCTCTCTTCCAACGTGTGCCAAGAGGCAGTTGGGCACCTTTGCGACTCAACCAACAAGCGGGGGTAACAGCCCCCCTGCTCGGCTAGGATGTAGATCGTTCTTCCGGATGCGTGAGTGAGTATTATAATATATATCTATAGAAATATATATATATACACACAGAAATACATATGGGGGGTTTACGAAAGTAAGGGACCCCGAAAGTAGTCCCCCAAATAGTAGGATCCCCTTATAATAACGACCCCAAGAAGGTACCTCTAATTTCGGAAACCCCCAAAAACATCCAACAAAAGAAGCCGTCATTTCGGGCGAAACCCCTGCGCCCAATCCTCTACACTAGTTCCCATCCACACCCACTCCACAATTCCTGTCTCTTTGGGTACCCCGTCCATCCAGAAAAAGAAAAAAAAAAACCCCCCCCCCCCCCCCCCCCCCCCCAAAACCCTAAACCCGAAATGCAAAGGCCCCATATGGAGCCTCCGCAGGCCACCTGGGTGTAGGAGAGGCCCTCCTGATGGACTACCCAGAGAGCCCAATACCCCTCAACTAAGGATGGGAATGAACCTTAAATCACAACAAAGGATCCCTGTATAATATATAGTATGTTCCTTCTTTAAGGGGTATAGGATAGGAATGAACCTTAAATCACAAAAAAGGATCCCTGCAAAATGTATAGTATGTTCCTTCTATAAGGGGTATTGGGCTCTTTGGATACATAAGTGGGGAGTGGGGGCAGCATGCATCATGCAGTTCGCAGAAAGTGGATGTTTTGCACAGGGAGCCCAGGAGAAGCAACATCAAAACGCACCCTCAGACACGAACTAGATCCCTGAAGTGCCACACCTGTCAGGGTTTTCGCATTCGCCGAGGTTTTTTGCATGGGGGAACACAATAGGGCTCTACGGCCCAGCAGCACTTCCCTTCCTAAGCCGCAAACCCCCGAAGGCCAGGTCCCTGTTCGGCTCGGCGCTCCTCCAGCGGAGGGAAGTTGCACTTGTCGGAGAGGTTGCCTAGGCCGGGGGCGGCAGCTTCTCAGCGAGGCGAGGCCACGAAAGTGGCGTCATGAGGAGGAGGAGGAGGAGGGAGAACAGGAGCAGGAGTTTGAGAGGCGGAGGGGGGGAGGGACGGAGGGGAGGGAGGGAGGCGATTGAATTTATAGTGCAAGGATGGGAGACTCCCAAGCAACTAGTACGGTCCCGCAGAACACTCTTCTTCTGTTCTTCTTCTTCTTATTCTTCTCAGAGGGGCTTGGGGCTTGGATCCACGATAGTCAAAATGCTAGTCTGGGCTCGTGCATGTGTACATACCTGGAAAGCACAAACACGAGCATTCCCAAAGCCTTGGGCATCCAACCCCAATCTGCCCCGTTGTTTAGGGTTTCAGGGTTTAGGGTTTAGGGTTTAGGGTTTAGGGTATAGGGTTTAGGGTTTAGGGTTCAGGGTTCAGGGAGTCCTCCGCCCTTGAAATCCCGTGTTCAATGCCAAGTGACTGCCGAAGGGAACCGCAGCCCCGTCGCTACGGAGCCTTTCTGGGTTGGCCCCAACCCCAAGTTTAGGGTTTAGGGTGTTTAGGGTTTTTAGGGTTTGGGGTTTTTCGGATTTTTAGGGTTTGGGGGGTTTAGGGTTTAGGGTTTCTCAGTTGAGTTCTTTGCGTGCTTGGGCGAACAGGATCTGCAATATGTGAAGAGCTGCCTGGACCTCAACAATTCGAAGGCTTGAGCTGTTTCTAAGTGCAATTGAAGGCGGCATCACCCGATTTGCAAACATCCATCTTAAGCTCCTGACTCGGTAGCTCTCACCGTTTCGAAACGCTCGACGACATGAGGTTTCAAGACTCGAGAATCCAAACAACGTATCCCTTGACATTTCGAGATTGTGACAACGTCTAGCTGCCTAGCCAACAGCTACAAGTCCCCAAAACCCGTTTTGGCGCCAGGGCTCTCTCAAGTGCCTGGTTACCAAATACCGTCTTTGTCCCTTGTCGAAGATAAGAACTCCAAGATCCAGCCGCCAACCACATCGCCCTCGACTTTTCATGGTGGCATGTCACGCCCAGCAGCAGACACGAATGCGTTCGCCCCGCAGTGCACGTGGTGAAGCCCTTGGTGAAACAGAGGAGCCCCTCTCTTGGCGATAGCATCCTTTAAAGCCCTATACAAGTGAGCATCCTTCAGCCCTTTACACCCTTAAAACCCTAAGATCTAACCCTATTCAGGGTTCAGCCCGGCCAACAAAATATATGACAGGGGCGAGGCCGGACCCCCCAGTTCAGCAAGCAGCACATCGCAGGCTGTAGTCTAGGGCTTAGTAGAATTACGGCTCCCGGGGGTCTTTGTAGTTGGGTCCTGAATCTGTTCAGTTCTTTCCTTACAACTTGGAACGCCAAACCACAAACCCCAAACCTGGCTCAACCCTAAGCCCTAAGCCCAGCGAGCCTCCATTCGTCCGCTGTCTGCGGAGCCGAAAAAGGTCCAGGCCCATGGCCAAGGGGCCAAAGTGCTGGTAGGGTTTAAGGGGTTAGGGTATAGGGTGTAGGGTCTCGGGTAGGGGGCTTAAGGGGCGTGGGGGTTTGAAGTGAGGCTTTTCCTTGCTGACCTGGGAGGGACTCGTCAGTGCCAGTGCGTAGGGCTTGCAGGGTTTGGGGTTGTGGGACAACTTAAAACAAGCTGCCGAGCCATCACCCAAGGCCCGCCCCGCTGAACTTTTTGGAGGGTTGGGGTTGGGATTGGGATGTTCCCCCTTATACCAACACTCCTTAATAGAGATCATTACAGTACCCCCCCTATTATAATCCCTATTCGTAAAAGGGAGGAACATCCCGAGGCTGGGGCCTGAGGCCCAGCATCTCCCAGTTTTCAAGAGCACTTCAAATGAAGGCAAGGCGCGCTCGGGCGTCCGCTCCAGGCCTCGACACTGCGAAAGGCCACCCGGAAACAAGGAAGAACACCTCACAGCAGACCTCGAATAATTAGCGGCTTCAAGGATCTTTAGGTCGCAGTCATAACTGCAACCATCTCTGGTGGTAGTGTGAGAGAGGGAGAGAGAGAGAGAGAGAGAGAGACAACAAAAACAAACACTACCTGCTGGCCTCTGAACAGCCAGCCCACGGCAGCTCTCTGCTCTAGGTAAGTCCCCCCCGCTCCTCGACACTAAGCCGCTTCTGTGAAACACGGGGGCCCCTGAAACCCTCAAAAATTCAAATGCCCTGAAACTGCCGAAGGTTGAAGGACCACTTCCATGAGCCCCAGATGCAATAGGGATTCACGGGGAAGTCCTCACAGATGGGCTCATGGGGCACGGCCTTGGGGCGCGGTCTGTTTTGTCGAGTTTCGACTGTCGATTTTTGTGGCTTGGCGTTTATAGCCCCTGGCGCTGCAAGCCCCGTACTCTCCTGTGCCGCATTCCGACGCGAGTTCCGAAGGCTTCAGATTTTTTAGGCTTGTAGGGCTCGAAATCATCGTGCTGGACACCTAAACGCGGCCTCAGCTGTAAACTTAGAGCCAATCAACACCTCGAACCTCTCCAAGGTCCAAACACTTCTTTGGCAATGCTTTAAACCCCACACCCTGGCCTTAAACTTCAACCACAAATTCTACCGCAACTCGCATCTCCACCCGATCTGGGTACCTGCTTTTCAGAACTGGGGTCACTGGCCGCGGTCATCCCGCCAGGACGTGCGAAGACTGCGGTCGCGAACACATCGCCCAAGCGATCCTCGTCGTCTTATCCCGACAAACCTCAACACCCTTTTTTCAATCGAACTGGCTCCAAGAGTGCTGGCACCATGGCTAGGCCGCTAAGTAAGGTCCATACATGTGCCAGCTTCCCGGCTTGGCTTGATTTTCCTGGCGCTCGTAGGCGCAAGGTCCAGTATAGAGCTTCTACAGAGGCTCCGTAGCAGAACAGCCATAGACACGCGCTAGAAGCCAGAAACCAAGGCTTTTGCACATGCGAGCGCCGACCAGTTTCAACAACCACAGAGCCGAACCACCCTGCAAAGGGATACAAACAAGGCACCGTGTCGGTAGCCGAAAGGGTATGCCAATGCATGCGGAGATGCACATGTTGCTGCTTTGGGTTGGAGTCTATTGACCTTTGCAACACTTGGACCCTCACTGTTCCAGCACCTTTGCACCCTCAACCTCTCGTAAAGCCGCTTCCGGCGGCGCATCTGAAAACCGAGAAGCAACCCTAAACCCTAAACCCTCAACTTCAGCCAACCGGGCTGTCCTGCTCAGAGCAGTACGGACGCCTTGGTTGGTCCGTGACACTGCATTTCAGGAATGGGTTGGGGGGGGGGGGGACCCTAAACGGGCTCTCGGTTGGGCTTCAGAATTGAGGGTTTTGTGGTCTGAGGAGGTTCGCAATGGTTAGGGCCCCACGTTGGACCGCCAGTCAAGGAACCACCTGGGACGTAAGCCGAAACCCGCTTTAAACAGGCGGTTCGGACCCGTGTAAGAACCCTGCCTTTCAGGACAATTGTGTTTGGAAACAGACTAAAGCCCAAAGTTACAAGGCTGAGCTGTCGATCTATTGGCAGGTGTATGGGGCGTTAGAAGCCTTAGGCTACACCCCATGCAGGGGCATATTAGCGGTACCCCTATTTCGAGAAATGTCCCAATTCTGGCACCTTCAAAAGGAAGGCTTTTGGGTCTTTGAGGGTGGTGTTCAGGGGTTCGGGGCTGTGCTGCTTCAGAGGGATAAGTCCATGTCAGGACAACGAAGCCCGAGCAAAAGGCCTTTTGGGAGTCACTTCAAACCCACGAAAGTCGTAGCTTTTGGTTTCTTGAGCGCTCTCCATCTTTTTGTCGTACGTCCCGTTCCCAATGGTCGTGTGGTGCAGGTGGCGGGCTCAAGCCCAGCTTTCAACTTCATGGCGGGCGCGGAGGCATGGGGGCCTTAGGCCAATATCTCCGCTAAGGTGGTGTTTGAAGGGGCTCGGGGGCTTAGGGTTCATTTAGCCCCCCGCCCCAAACAAGACAATGAGGCTTTTAGGCATGGGGCTGTCTGAGGGTTACAGGGATCTGGCTACTGGGAGTGTCAACCCATCACATATCATCGCGAGTCCATCGCACGACCGGATGCCACGCCTTGCAAAAGCTACTTGTTAGTGTGTGTATATATATACACATATATAAATAAATAAATAAATAAACAAAGAAATAAAGAAATAAATATATATATATATATATCCCGTTGTCACCTTGGCCCTGATGCCCTACATGTCTGGCTATGCGCACATGTACACCTCACTCACAAGCAAGACCTTCGGAGCCTCCAAACCGAACCCTCGACCCATCTCCGCCCCATGCATCGCACGGCACCGCCAAGCGAGTGAGACGTTAAAACTTCATGGGCCCTTGCTGCCAGGTCCGGGACCTTTGTTGTTTGCTGGTCCCTGAACCCTAAACCCTAAATTTTTTTTAGAACCCAGACTCCTGAAATCAGCTGGGAAAGGCCTTTGACAAACTCCTAAACCCGTACAGTGCTTCGTGAGCCGGCCCCCCCAGGCGGCTCGTCTGTGCTGTGAAGGCTTTCGCCTTCCGCGATGCCACCAGACAGACGAGTTTTCACTCTCAAAGAACCTAAGCCCTAAATCCTAAACCCTAAATCCCAGGTTTCGTGTCTCTTTAAACAGGGCACCCCTAAGCTGGCGAAGTGAATCCCTGGACCCATTTCGGGTAGGGCTTCAGGGTCTTGAAACGCTCAACCCCGAAACTAAAAACAGAAAGCACTGCTCAAAACAAAAGCAGTATTGCGTGATATAGTCATATAGTCATATAGCAATCAAGGCAGATACCATAAGATGATAATTTCATAGTATCCGATTACAGAACCGTCTTGGGATGTTCCTTAATAGGGATTATAGTACCCCCCCCCCCCCCATTCATCCCTAAACCCTAAACTCCAACAAGTACAAGGAACTCGCAGAACTCCCAGGGCCTGGGGCTTGGGAAGATGATCACATATTTCAGAATCAACAACTACACACACACAGTATGATAATATTTGACTACAGACCCGACTCTTAGGTGCTAAGTTCCCTTGGGAAAATAAGGTTAACCTTTGGGTTGAAAGGGGGTTTATACTACCCCAAAAGGCTAAAGGTTACCCACCCAGCACCTAAGGACTATAAGCATAAGGATCCAGTGGCATCGATCTTTTTGCAGCCCCGGGCCCGGAAGCAGGCGGAGCTCCCTTCGGAGTCGATAAAGTTTGCGGGGGAAACTTTTTTTTTTTTTTTGGGGGGGGGGGGGGGGGGGGGGGGTGTGTGTAGGGTTTAGGGTTTAGGGTTTAGGGTTTAGGGTTTAGGGTTTAGGGTTTAGGTTTTAGGGTTTAGGGTTTAGGGTTTAGGGTTTAGGGTTTAGGGTTTAGGGTTTTAGGGTTTTAGGGGTTTAGGGTTTAGGGTTTAGGGTTTAGGGTTTAGGGTTTAGGGTTTAGGGTTTAGGGTTTAGGGTTTAGGGTTTAGGGTTTAGGGTTTAGGGTTTAGGGTTTAGGGTTTAGGGTTTCGGGCTGCCTTGGGGGCTTCGGGGTTGAAGGCTTTAGGGGTTCAGGGAGTAGGGATCGCCGAGTTCTTCTCACCTATGGCCCACGGTATCCGCGTGCAGAGGGATCTGCTGCGCCTTTGGCCCACAGATCCTGCTTTTTATCCGTCCCTGGCCTTGGATCAACTAAGTTGCCAGGGTCCAAAATCTCAGAACTCGTTTAAGGAAGGCAAGGCACCCTATTCGGGAACCACCGAAGAAGTTACAAAAGCTGCGGCAACTGCAACATGAAACTCAGGGTAGGAGGGTTGCTGGAAGGCCTGGGGTTCAAACACACTGTGCCCAGGATCTGCGTTAAGTTCGCGGATGGTCCGACTCTCAGCTTTCCAGGGAGATCTCGCCATCAAGGGCCGTGAACCTCAGGCAACACCGGCCGCATGCGAGCTCTGTCACGATCCGCAAGGAATAGCGGCTGGTTGGGCTACTGGGCACACAAAGCACATCCTCCTGTCTGGGCCTATAGGTGTTCATAGAACTCGGGTGAACTAAAAATGTGATGCAATGAGCAGACTTAGGCATGGGGTCTGCCCTTGGCAAATGTTGCCCTCAACCCCTAAAGGCCCAACATCATATGCTTGATGCTTCGAAGGGACCCTGACCCGGAACTGCGGACCATGCCGGATGCACGAGCCAAAGAACTCACAAAGCCTGAAGCCTAAACCCTGTAGAACCTAAACTTGGGGTGTTCCCCGGTATACTAACATGAGTCCTTAACAGGGATTCTAGCACCCCCTCTTTTTTCATCCCTACTAGTATAAGCGCGGAACATCCCAACCCTAAACTCTAAACCCTAGAAACCCTAGAAACCCTAGAAGCCCTATACACCCTATAAACGCTGTGAACCCTATGAACCCTACAGAAACCCTATTAAACCCTACAAACCCCAAAAAAAACCCTGTAAACCCTATAAACCCCAAGAACCCTATGAACCCTAGAAACCCTATAAACCCCTTTTAACCCTACAAACCCTAAAAAAACCCTCTTAACCCTATAAACCCCAAGAACCCTATGAACCCTAGAAACCCTATAAACCCCTTTTAACCCTACAAACCCTAAAACCCTCTTAACCCTATAAACCCTATAAACCCTATAAACCCTATAAACCCTATAAACCCTATAAACCCTATAAACCCTAGAAACCCTATAAACCCTATAAACCCTATAAACCCTAAAACCCTAAAACCCTAAAACCCTCTTAACTCCTAAACGAGGCTACTTTCCGCCGCGGCGCTGCGCCGTCGCCCGGATGTCCCGGCTCCTTGAGTCGGAGGAGCATGCTTGGGGTTTCTTGTGGTTTAGGTTTTGGGGTTTAGGGTTTATGGTTTAGGGTTTAGGGTTTAGGGTTTAGGGTTTAGGGTTTTTTTCCGTTTAGGTTTTCGGGTTTCGGGTCTAGGGGTCCTGAGCCCTACACCCTAAACCCTTGGAGGGGTTTATGAGCTTCGTCAGTGGGGGCTCTGGGGATCGCCGATCCACGCACTCTCTTTTAGGGTGTTCAAGAATTTGTTAAGGGTTTTTTGGGGGTTTTCATGGGGTTTTCATAGGTTGCTTTGAGAGTTTCTAATTGCAAGATCTTGCGGCTTGCAGGATCCTCGGTTTTTCCTCTGAAGGGGACTCAGGGCTCTGCCAAAGCTTCGTCCCTTTTTCGACTATTTAACTTAAGAATCCACGACAAAATAGAAGCTAGTCAGATAATACCCCCTACATTGCCCTTCTATTAGCCATAATATTTTGTTGTTTTTTGGGGGGCTCTTCACTTTGCGGCCATGGATGGGACTAATTTGATCACTGGGTCGCGCGCTCACTTTGGGCGGGGGGGGGGGTCGATTTTGTGAAGCCCATTGGAAAGCCTCTTCAGAACCCAACATCACAGGCCCTTGGCGTGTGTGAGACCAATTCGTTTGAGGAGTTCGAGTCGGTTCGCGCTCGGGCTTCTCCTGGAGGGAGAGAGAGAAAGGGCTAGGCAGGCCGGCAGACAGACTAACCTGAGAACCTTCAGCAGGAAGTGCCCTATTCAAGTTAGTGTGAGCAAGAGACAGGGGAGGAGAGAAAAAAAAAGACAAACCTCGACTTGGAATTGCTAAGCCCTCCAACGCCGATCGCGCGTCGCATGGTGCGCACCTCCCGCAAGATACGTGCTGCGAAGCGTCGAGGAGCCGATAAAGATGGTGTAGATTCCATCCACAAGCACCCACCTGCGACCCCAAAGCCTTCAACCCCAAACCAGTTCAGTCTCTACGCAACCTTGTGCCGAGGACCTGGTTCAGCTTCGGGATATGACTGGGCAACATGAAGCTACTGTCTTTCTCTTTGGGTCCGAGAGCGTGGGGCTTCAAAGGGCCAAATGCTGAAGCTTGCAGTTGGGGGGGGGGGGGGGTTGAAGCAGTAGTCCTCTGCCACATTTGGGGGTTTCCGAGAATAGGGGATACCCTTTTTGGGGGTCCCTTTTAAGGGGGATTCTATTCTACTTGGGGTATAAACGGGGTACCCTTTTTGGGGAAGACCCATGTCGAGAAGCCGTGCAGAACCTGCCTGGCGCCGAGGCCCTAACCCAGTGCGCCCCTAAGAGGATCAGGGATGTGGGTACCCCCAAGATAGTATAATCCTTATGATAGGAACTACCCCTATGTTCGGAAACCCCCATGTGGGAAAGCATGTCGTGGGGTTTCGGGTGTAGGGTGTAGGGTTTAGGGTGGACCTCCACCGACAG